GTTAGGCAGCCTGTCAGCCAGCCCAGCAGCCTCTGCAGACATCCCCGCCAGTCAGCTGAGAAGCGGGAAGCTGTACAGAGGTTCCCTGGTGGGCTGACAAGCTAGCTAAAATAAAAATAAATTGATTTTTTTCCCTTAGCTGGCCTATCAGCCAGCGTGGCAGCCTCTGCAGTCATGGCAAGGAGCTGTGCAGAAGCCCACTGGTGGGCTGACAAGCCAACTAAAATAATTTAAAAAAATTAAGCAGCGGGCCAGTTGGTTGCCTGTGTGCATGAGCCTGCCTCTTAGCTGAGAGGTGGTGCCTGCACAGAAGCAGAGATAGCAGTCCAGGTTCCTGGAAGGGAACAGGGTGCTATCTCTCTGGATGGCAGTGGCAGAGGCAGCAGGACAAGGTAAGGATGTTAATTTTGAAAAGTTTGGGTTCTGTGGTTTGGATGAACCTGAACCAGCCTGAATCAATAAATCAGCGATTTTTGATGAATTTTCTGGTTCGTTTTTATATTTGTGCCTATCTCTCTGCTATTAAATCATTTGAGAAATATTGGTTTCCTTCCTGGTATAAATTAGACCAAATGGGCAATGATTCAAAACTGAAGGAAAGACACTACTTTCACATTGGGTTCGGACACTCCTTGTTTGCCTTTTAGAAGAAGTTGTGTAATCTTATTTCAGCATCCTTTGTTCACAGCATGTCTGAAGTAGGTCAGCTTTGAATAACTTTCAAGCTCATGTCATGTACTTCAGGGCACTGGGCAATGTACAAGCAGCATTTATTCCTTGCCCATGCTGACTTCAAATATATTCTTTTCATTTTGGGAATCTAAAAAAAACATTAAAAAGTAGATGCCTTGGGATAAGAATTTGGAAAAGTTACCTTTCTAGATTATGATTTCCAGTATCTGAGATGGCTGTCCAGAAAAGTAACTTCTGAGCTCTAATTTACTTATGACTTGTTAGTACACTTCAAAAAGTTATGTAGAGATTCTAGAGAATCTCCCAACAAGCCACAGTCCCCCAGCACTCTCTTTAAATGCCTTATAATTTGTATTTGGTTGTTTAGAACCAGCAGTAAAATTGCACTCTGAACATAAGATTTTAGGAAAGAGTAAGACTAAGGTCCTGGTCACATGAGAAGAATATTCTCTAGTTCTTCTGATACTTTCCATACCTCTGTTGTACTGACTTAGAATCACATGGTATATATACTGCAGAGAATGTCCAAACAACTTTTAGCTGTACCAATTTATTTCCACCTTTTTGAAACATCATTACCAGCTATACCATGGTACCAGTTTATTTTTTTTTCCTCTTGGTTCAAGGGGCAATTTAGCCCTTTGATTCACATCTGGATATTTTAAAAATAACATTGATTGATACATCGATATATCAGGAAAGGTTTCTGTTTTGGAAAGTGTCCTCTGTTGTGCTGGCTGCTCCTGCAGAATCACACTGCACACAGTGAACACTGGACCACTGTCTATGGCACACAGTTGGCAGTAAAGATGGCAGCTGCTGCCTAGGCAAGGGAAATCCATGTGGCAATACTGGTGATCCCCGCCTCATGACATGCTTTTATCAATATACCGATGTACCAGCCAGGAAAAATAAAATAAAATAATTAGTATGTGTGCCGCAGAAATGGTGGCTCTTGTCCTGTTTGTGGTCTTTACATGAGTATTTGGCTGTATGAACCAAGATACCTGTTCTTCTTCCATTCAGTTGTAGTTTTTACTTTCCTTGCCGTTCAAGTGGAGCCAGAACATTTTCACCCTGTAGGATTTTTTGAGGATTGAGCAACATTGTGGAACAAGCTTGACCAAATCTACATTTCAGTTTTCTATTATTTGGTGTCTCAGAAAATACATGTAAACATTGTTATTTCAACCCTTCACTGACAATTTAAAAAAATGAATAAGCACATACTAAACCAAAGGCATTTTTCATTTATTTGGAAGACATATTAAAAATTTTCTTGTGCTGACTGAAATAAATTTCTTCACAGTATTTTAAACCAATTACCCTGTTTCTTACCATTTCTAGACAACAGTTAAAAAACTTAAAAAACAAGAAATATTCTAAGAACTTCTACAATGCATGAAATATATGTACCTATCTTATTAAAAATGAATATATCATTAATGAATTGTAACACATAGAATTTTATAACTGGCAGCATGTAGAATATTTGTTAAATTATTTACACCATTAAGATATATACTTAGAAATTATTCATTTCCAACAGTAATTAGAATGAATACATTATATCCATGCTTGTTTTAAAGAGAATAATAATATTAACAAAGGAAGGCACTATTACTCATTCATTCATGGAATCTCAGTCTTTATAAAAATACTTAAATTTAGATACAAGCTCACAATTCAAAAATGCTACCACAATGATAAAGCATCTTATAATGCTAATAGTATCTAATTTGGAAGGAATCCCTTCCTTTTAAGGCTAGGATCAGTTTCAGAATGGAGAAACTAATAACTATAACTCTTTAAAAAATCAGAGCTGACTTGGTAAGAAGCTGCATAAAATTATATACTCTCTTTAATCCTCATTATTCTTACTATTCTTGTGTTGCTGTTGCCCTTTTGAAAACATAACACATGTATACTTTCAACATGTAGTAATACTCAGGTGTATCCACTCGGAAGTATTGCTCAATTAATCAATTTCATGGGCACACATGAATGTGCCCATTCATTAGTTCCAGAGCAAATGCATGCAAGGTTTGTGGGCAGCTTAGTTCTTTGGAAATCCTGTTACAGTGTTCTGGCAGCTATCGGATATAAGCTCATTCATTTCATTTTGTTTAGTTTCTTCTTTGTTTTCATGGTTGGAGTGATTCTTTGTGGTTCTTGTTCTTCTAGGTCGCCTGGTGCAGAACTTCAGTAGCAAATAAGAAAACTCAGTTACATTTAATAGAATGCAAATACCAGACACTGCAATCATGAAAATGGTAAAGACTGTTTTTTCAGTGGGCCGAGAAACAAAACAATCTACTACATTAGGACAAGGCCAAACACTACATTTTAGGAGACGAGGCATGTGATATCCCTTGTACATATAGTAAAACACATACATGAAAGAAGCTTCAAAGATGAGCCTGAACAAGATACTGACAGTGTATGTCCACCATAAAGGTCCCTCAATATGAAATCTCTGACTCTTGATTTCTTCTATGTCTTTATATTCACAACTTTTATCTCCCTTTTGGAACTTCTTTTTCTTTTCATGCCTTCTGTATGCAACGTGCATTGCCACCAAGAGCGCAGGAGTGGAGACAAAGATGAGTTGCAGGGCCCAAAGTCTTATGTGAGATATGGGGAAAAAATAATCATAGCAGACATTTTTGCATCCTGGTTGCAGAGTATTGCAGACAAAATCATCTTGCTCATCACCCCAGACTTCCTCTGCAGCAACTACAAGGATCATAATACGGAAAATAAATAAGACTGTCAGCCAGATCTTTCCAATACTGGTGGAATGTTTGTTTACCCCTCCTAAAACAGCTTGCAGTGTTCCCCAGTCCATGTTATCGTCTGAACCTTTCGACCTATTATGACAAAAAGAAAAAAAAGATGCTATGAAACATACATCCACTTGATACGTTAAGATCTATGAATAAGCTACTCAGACATCACCACAATAATTAAGAGCTTTGAAAAGTTCCAGAATTTGCCACCCAACATATCTGATGAAAATATAAACTGAAGAATGATCAAAATCAGCAAGAGTCTAAATGTGAAATTCCAAATGTGAAAGTATTATAAATGCAGAATAACTTTACTTCAGGATTTTCAGATAGTATTTTTTTGTTATCAAATAACATTAAGGCTGAAAGCCTGTGCAAGCTCACAAAGAAATTAATGTCCACTGAATTTGTTTGGACATTTTGCATAGCATTGGGCAGTTAATAATACAGATTTATTTAAAATAAATCTGTATCATTTTTTCAGCATTTTTAATACTTCCCTAGTTTTTAATAATTCCCAGTGTAGTGTAATGTAGTGTAGTAGACAGGGTGACAGACTATTACTCTGAAGAACAGAGTTCTAATCCCCATTTGGCCATGGAAACTCATTGAGAGAATGGAACTGGTAAAATCACTCCTTAAATATCTCATTTACCTTGTAGGCCCTATTAGAGTAACTATAAGTTGATTCCAACTTGACAGCACAGAACACACATACAATTTTTTATGGCAGTGCACTTCTTAAAACTAACAGCTTGTGAAAGTATTTAATTATTAGAACATATGTTCCAGCCAGTATAGGAAGCAATATCTGGAATTCACCTGGAGAATGCAAAGAGCACCTTCAGAGAAGGTTTTTCCCCAAGTGAGGGGGGGGGTTAAATCCTCTCCAACTCTCTGGTGATTTTAACAATTACCTCTTGCCACAACTAATGATATCATTTAAAAATATGCATGTTAAAAATATGCTCTCCAAAGTTGCAAGATTACAACTTTAGTTGTTTGGAAGTGTTGGCTACGCTAGTAGGTGTTGGAATCCATTTGGAGAGCCATGAGTTCGCCTGCTCTGTTTTGTTCAAATAAAGATACACTTTATAAAGATAAACTAATTTAAGCTGCATCTTGTTCACAGGTGAGTTGGTGTCTAACATCACATGTGGGATGCAGTTTATTTTCATCCCTGTTATTGTCATTCATATAACATTTCAAAATGCTGACTCAGGTCATGAGAATTGTGCAGGAAACAAGTCTAGCCACTTGCAAGCAAACCAGTGTGTCACACCCTTTTGCTTAAAAAGGCACAAAATATTTTCAGATCTGCTGACTCAAAATAATACAGAACTGCTCTTTTTAGCATTGGAAACAACCAGACAGAGTCAAAATCTGAGATAATTGGGGCTAGTTAAGCAGTCTGTGAAACGGAAACTTTTTGAAAGAATGTAAGACTCTTTCTGAACAAATGAATTAAAAATGCGCTCCGAAGTACGCAACGGCTGAAGTGTAGTAGTAAGACACAACTATCTTGGCTGTGGCTGGGTTTGCCTTCTTTCAACTGAGATGTCCCTATCTCATGGGGAATTCCCTGATGACATTGGTTCATGCATTGGTAGTCTTCAGGATATACTGTTGGGATGCTCTCTGTGTGGGACTCCCCCTGAAGGTGGTTAGGAAGCTAGAACAAGTGCTAAACACAGCAGCCAGGCTGTTATCAGGAACATCAAAATACAATCATATTTAATCAGTCGTGATGTGGTTGCAGGCCAAGTTCAAGGTGCTGTTGTTGACATTCAAAGCCCTAAATGGTTTGGGACCTCATTACTTGTCAGAATGCCTCTCTGTTCTTTGTAGACTATATAAGCACAGCTCAGAATTCTGCTTAGAGCTACATAACATTTCACATATTACTAGAAAAACATCAACTTTTGACCAATGCTTTTCCAGCAAACATAAAGGAAACTATGTTCTCAAACAAAGAGACAAGAGGTATCAGAGAGCCAATATCAGTTATGACTGTCTTTCACATATCCATTGACTGTCTCCACATGCTGGGAGACATAGTTCTCCCTCTAGGTTTCACACAGGCAAATATTGATTAAACACTGGCATGCCCATGAAACGTTATGGGGTATAAGAATCCTTCATTCATGGTGTGATCAGATAATCATTTGTCCTGAGGTTTGATCTGGGTTGAAGATGGGCTTGTTTGTTCTTTTTCCTGGTGAACACACACTGTACAGTTTATGCCATTGCAAATCAGCCCACCCTCATCAATGTCTAGCAACACCTTTTAAGGTCCCCCCCCCTTTTTTTTTGTATGGGAAGGATCACTACATTTTGGTTCAGTTCGAGCATTCATAATCACTGGGACTGAACTAAAGCTGTCCCTTTGCTTATGCTGCTGTTTAACAGACTTAAAAATGAAACTCACCTGTGGAGGGAAGGGAGAGAAAGTTTTCAATTTCTTTTTAATTGTTTTAACACATTAGCAATGCTTTGAATGGGTTTCTTTAAAAAGCATCACTGATGTGGTGTGTCAGTGATAAACAATTATAAGCAATGGAAAGCTTCCCCCCCTTCCCCTCCATAGCTGAGCCACAAGGAAGCTTTTCATTTCTCAAGATTGTTAAGTGGCTTAGGCAAAGCAACGAGAAAGAGACAGGAGAGAGATTTTATTGTTCTTTTTGTTTTCCTTTAAAGAGAAAGATTAGCCTTTTTCTGTTATGAGTCATCAAATCACTTCTGACTTATGGTGACTGTATGAATAAGCAATCTCCAAAATGTCCTGCCCTCAACAACCCTGTTCAGCTCCTGCAGACTCAAGTCTACATTTCCTTTAGGGAAGTCAATGGAGTTGATCCATCTCATATTTGGTCTTCCTCTTTTCCTGCTGCCTTCCACCTTACTCAGAATAATTCTCTTTTCCAGAGCATCTTGTCTTCTCATTATGTGTCCCAAGTAGGATGGACCTCAGTTCCAACATTTTTGCATCCAGAGATAGTTCAGGCTTGATTTGATCTAGGAGCCGCTTGTTTGTCTTTCTGGCAGTCCAGGATATCCACAAAGCTATTCTCCAGCACCACATTTCAAATGAATCAATTTTTTTCCTGTCAGCTTTCTTAACTGTCCAGCTTTCACACCCTTACATGGTGATGATAATGGATGATCTTGGTCCTGGTCTCCAGTGATACATCCTTATACCTGATGATAGTTCTTTCATTGCTACCCTTCCTAGTCCCAATCTTCTTCAGATTTCCTGGCTGCAGTCTCCATTTGGACTGATGACCAAACAAAATCTCTCACTACATATAAAACATTTCTCACTAATTCAATTTTTTCATTGTTAACATTTGTGTACTTTTTCTGTAGTCATGATTTTTGTTTTCTTCATGTTCAGGTGCCGTCCTACTTTGGCACTTTCTTCTTCACTTTCCCTAACACTTGTTTCAAATCATTGCTGCTTTCTGCCAGTATGATGGGGTTATCTGCATATTTTTGATTATTGATTTTTTGACCATTTTTCACTTCTCCTTCATCTGAAACTAGTCTGGCTTTCTGTAAAATTGGCCTAGATCATGAGGTGTGGTAGATAAATGATAGACTGCACCTAAAGCAACTCTGTTAAGCACAATGTAGACCAAAACAGGCCAGGATAATTGGAACATCTAGTTTTTTAATATAAATATATAGTATTAAGTTTAGATTTCACAAATTGTTCTTGACTCCAGATCTGTATTCTCTGTTTTGTTAAATGTATGCACTATGCATAGTATACTTTAAGAGAAAACAGAGACCCAAGGATTTATTTCCATATTCAATATGAGAGACTTGAAATATAGTGCTGTACTCATTTTGTTGCCCCCCTTCATCTAAACTAGTGCCCCCCTTCATCTAAACTAAATCCAGTGATCCAGGTACATCTGGCTAAGTCTGCATTCTAAAATACTAGCTGAAGAAGAGACATGTCCCTCTGCATGCATCAGATTTCATCTGTAACAGATCCAACACATTGTTCTTGTGCACTAATGGTTGAGGGCATGACTCTCCCCACAACTACATATAACTTCACCATGCAGCAACAACAGTACTGCTGCTGAGTTTAACTTAGTAGGTCTTCAAGCATGGCTCACATGGAGAGCACAATCAAGTAAAATATGATGGTCCTAAAAGAATACGCAAGCTGGAACAATGGCTTTCAATGCAACTGCATGAACAGAGGTTGAATGGCTATTTTTTTAAAAGTACCATTGTTTTGATTTAAAGTTGACTCATCACAACTGAAACTATAGTCTTGTGGGATAGAAACTGCTGACTCAAGATTCTGCGAATGTAACTCTTCTTGGATTTTACTAGAAAGTAAAATATTAACTCTTATTTCTATATTTTATATTGTTCCAGTCTATCACATCACAGATCAGCCCCACTGTTTGTCTGTGAGAGACATACTGACAGTCCAGTCCTATACATATCTACTTAGAAATAGGCCACATTGAATTTGATGGGGTTTACTTTCAGATAAATATTTATATAATTGTATAAGACAGCAAGCTTTTATGGAATTCAATTCCACTGCAATCAACCGAGCTCACTTCTAAGTATATTCAGTTTATATGACTGGTTCTATCAAACTCTTTCTAAAAATTAGCATTTTTAGCACCTAGAGTGGTCCTAATCCGACCAGATAGGCGGGATATAAATAAA